GTTAGGTAGAACTCTTGAAGACATTGGCATAGGAAAAGACTTTATGAACAAAACCTCAGTACCATGGGATTAGCACAAAGAATCCACAACTGAGATCTCTTCTTATTAAAAAGCTTCTGCACTGCAAGAGAAACCACCAACAGAGCTAAGAGACAACCTACAATATGGGAAAAAATTTTAGCATCTGTACCTCAGACAAAGGACTACTGTAATCTAGAATATATAAAGAACTTAAAAAAAATCAGAGCCCCCCCCCAAATTTAAAGACCCAATTCAAAAATGGACATCTGAAATGAACAGACATTTCTCAGACAAAGAAGTAAAAGCAGCAAATAAGAATATGAAAAAATGTTCAACATCATTGGTCATTTGAGAGATGGAGATGAAAACAACACTGAGATTCCACCTCACCCCAGAAAGAATGGCTGCTATCAAGTAATCAACCAATAACAAATGTTGGCGGTTGTGGGGAGAAAGGAACCCTTCTCCATTTTTGGTGGGGTTGCAGACTGGTGCAACCACTGTGGAAATCAGTGTGGAGATACCTCAAAGAACTAGGACAACAGGTCCCATTTGACCCATCTATTCCCCTGCTGGCTATCTTCCCAAAAGAATTAAAAGAATCATACCACAGCAATATATGTGCACCCATGTTTATAGTGGCACAGTTTGTAAAGCTAAAGCTTGGAAACAGCCCAAGTGCCCATTAACTGGAAACTGGCTAAAGAAGATGTGGTTTTTTAAAATAAAATAAGAGTACTACTCTGCCATAAAGAATGAGGAACTAGAGACATTTATAGCTAAATGAATGCATATTGAGGCCATACTCTTAAGTGAAATAAATGGGATGCACATGTGTAAATACCGAACAGTTTCTCTAGTGTGAGAAACTGAAAGTGTAAATAATGATTGAAATTAATAACTGATAATGGGGAATAGGAAGAAAAGGTCCAAAGGAGTAGGGGAAGTGGGATGGGTAGGGGAAAGGAAAGAAGGGAAAGGAAAAATTATGAGAAAAGGAAAAAATGGAGACAAAGTCTTTGTAAATAGACTTTGTTAGGGAAGGGTGGAGGGGGTGAAGGAAGGACAAGAAATGGGGAAAAATTAAGAACCAAGATACATCATGTAAAGGTACAAGTACCCAATGATAAATGTAAATGTATACCTAAAATGTACCAGTAAAAGAATTTAAGGAAAAAAATAAATATAATTGTTTAACTGATCCTGTTTCTAAGTTTTCAGAAATGAGAATTAATTAA